GGGACGCGATCCCCCGAAGCCACCTCGAGGGACTGTGGGCTGTGGGCTTCCCAAAATGGGCGGAAGGGTGTGGGCGCATCATGAAGCAAGGGCATAACTATGGTTACCGTAGAGCTGTCGCTGGTACTAGATACTTGTTATGGTTGCAATCATGTCTCGGCGCATCAAGGACCGGACACTTGGATTTCGCGTGTTTGCTGGTGGATGCCCGTGCTGACGTTAAATAATGGGCGGGACGTCGACGGCACGGGGGGCGGGTGGGCCAGGTAGAGGTGCTTAGAACAAGGATCCAACTTCTCAAGTTCTGAGATGTTCTACATGAATGTCTTTACTTTTCTGACACACTCAAATGCATTCAGGTCGGCTTCTCTTTGCCAGCCATGTTTTAGTGCTGCCGAGCGACTTTTGAAGCTCCCCGCCATGGAGCTTGCCGGCGAGGAAGCCGAGCGCTTGGAGAACTGCAAGGCAACCGATGAAACAGGATCACAGAATTTTGTCACAATTCTGGTTACAGCTAGCTGCGTTGCTGCATTGCTGCATCGGCACAATTACTGCGACCGTCTGCTACCGTTCTAAGTAGACAAGCGTGGCACTGATCCTGAAGGAGATCGTCAAAATGGCGATGGCAAAAATCAGATCATAAAATACAACACCAACGGCAGCAACACCGACACCAACACCCGCAACCACCGCCACCACCACCATCTCCGCCCGACGATAAACACGTTGCAAATAACAATTGACAAGGTTCACCGGGCAGGCTCTATTTTGGCAGAAACTTGGCAGGCAGGGGACAGGTCAGGTCCCGCCCGCAAAGGATTCTGCACACTTGCGGAAGGTCTTACTTGCCCCCTCAGAAAGAGCAGCAGCAGCGGTTTGTCAGTGCCTCTGGCGAACCTTTTCAAGAGCTCCTCACCAAGTGTCGCTTTCGGCTTTTGCTCTCGCCTTTTTGTTCTGCCATGTCGGAATATGGTTCTTCTCCTTCTTGCTATTCAACCGTCCTACCGCTCTGCCTCTGTCTTTCCCCCTGAGCACTGGCCTCAGCGAGACTTGAAGTGCTGCAGGATGTCGTCAACTTCTTCGGACTTCGCCTCAGCTAGTCCAGGCGGGGTCCAGGAAGATTAACAGCAAGCATCTGAGAGCGTGGCACCAGGGTCTCAGTAGTTGCTGCCATTGCGTGAAGTCGGCGGTGTCTGAAAAACACACCTTTCGACGTTTCAGCAAAACTGGTCTGCCACAATGGCTCTTCAACTTCGCCATGCAAGGCGAGGGCGACTGTAACGTAACCCTTGCTGCGCTAAGAACCTGGCAACAAGCAGCAGCGGCAGAAGACGTACAGTCTTGCTTGAGCCAGCTGCAACGGCACGTCCAGGAAGCCGTCTGACGCTTGCTCAGTGGGGGTTTTGGGCATCGCAAGCCGCTACACGGCAGGTCTCTACGTCGGAATGCTTAGCCTTTCGTAGCCTTCAGGGCTTGGGCGGACCACAACACCTCCCGCACCCGTGCATAAGGCCTCTCGGAGCCGCGGGACATCTCCTCCGGATCGCAGCGAAGGTTGCAGGCTAGTGCGGTGAAATAGCATCGCCGGTCTGTCCTCCATCGCCATGCTCAAGGCTAGTCGAGAGATCAGATATATACATATATAGAAAAACATATGTTTATATATAACATATGTACAGATAAATATATATATATATATATATACATATCCACACTTGATCCGAAATATCACACGATCAGTCTGTTCTGACCGAGGACCCGTGTTGCTTCATGCGACTTGTCTCCGAGAAAGCATGTAGCAGCGCAGCAGACTTCATCAATAACAACCAAGAAACAATGAAGACAACGTCGCCGACACGAGGTCGATAAACCTAAGCAGCTTGAGAGCCTTGAGCTGCAGCCCTGCATGTCGCAATCAAGGCCCGAACGATGGGTTCGATACGGCCGAGCATCTCCTGCAGGGTGCTGCAATTGGAAGCTTGCTCGTGCTTCACATGATGTCCCGGCATTATTGGAAGGTTTGCTCAGCAGCTGATTTCTCAGGGCTTACGGTTTCGCTCGAAGCTGAAAGGGCAGCTCCTACAAGAAGAATCTCGGAGCTCCTGCGTGTAAAACTTGTGGTCTGGATAGAAGTTCTGCATGTCAATGGTCTCGAAGAAGTGAGCATTCCTCAGATCAGCTGACTTCCCTTCAAGCGACCCAATCAATGCATATGTAATTATGTAATTCCGCTCCGGCTGCCCTCGTCTGTGTTTAGGTTCTTGGCTCAAGGATTTCGTGGCATGAAACGACAACAATCACGAGGATTGAGGATTGCAAGCTTGAGGTGTACGAAACGACAATAGTTGAGAAGACAGTAACTGGAAGGTGCCACAAACGGCGACAATTACAAGGATGGACCTGTGACTGGCACTTTTGTTTTTTTTGAGGCCGCTCCCATGCGGGTGATGGGTGAGGGGGGAGGGTGCACAACCAGCTCACAACCACAAAAAAGGTCTTGAAATCCGAGGCTCAAGAATCTTTGGAATGCATTTTTTTGGACAGCATGCAGAAGCAACTCTCCACCGGAAGACTCCTCAGGGACTCGCAGATACCTCAGAGCGAATGACGCTGTGTGGCGATGAGCGCCCGATGCAACACATAGACCCCAATCCCAATTACTCAAGGCTCCCTTCTCAATGACCATGCTGCATGGCACACGTTGACCGATAGAGTACTTCCAGGTCTGACACTGTCCATGTGCACATTGCCTTCTCGGCGTCGACCACCTTGGATGCAAGCAAAGATCTGCAAGGCTGGTTTTTCCCTGTCTCGAGGATGAGGGCATGCGAGCTGGTAAGCACCGTGCCGGGCACCATTCGCCGCACCACGCAGGGCAGAAATTTGCGTGCAGTGCTCGGGCAGCGCTCCAGCTGGCAGGTGACCGCAGGCAGCGAATTGAGCTCTTCCCGGATCACGTCCAAGGGGAACTGGCCTCTGAAGGCAAAAGGAGAGAGGGTGTGACACGGAGCATGGCTCCAAGCGTAGCTCCGAGCCTGGTGGGAAGGCGGAGATCAAGCTCTTTGTCGTCTCTTCTGCGCGCTGCAGGTAGGAGCCGGGGGCAGGCGTGGACGCCTTCATTCGGAAGCCTGGGCCGCGACGATTCGCACACGGAGGAGCCTGCAAGGCTCTGAGGCCGGAACCCTCTTGTATGAGCACATCAGTTTTCGTGTAGCCGAGCTTGCTGTAGTCGGAAGCCGGTGCATCCTCAGACAAGGCTGAGCATCCGAGCTGGACAGGCGATCATGCACGGAAATCAACGCCGAAACGAGTCAAGAAAGACACTCGGATCTACCAGATGTTCCTCTGAAAAACCAGAGACGACATCCTCGCTCTGACATGGCTGTTGAAGGCTCCTCCCTCAGCCAGGCGGCCGGATCACGGCCCAAGCGCCACTCGGCGAATCGCCGGGCCGAGGAGCCGCCTCTTCGCTACGACGCAGGAGCTCAGGAGCTCAAGAGCTCAGGCTCTCAGGAGCAGAAGATAGCAGAAGTGTCATTTCCAGGTCCGAGGCTTGGAAATCTCAGGCTTGGTCTAAACATGTCCAAACGCTCCACGCCGGTTTTTGCCTGAGCGCTCCGCTGCGGCAGACTGCTGGAGCAGCCAGTCGCTGGCTTCTCGGCAGACTTCCTCTGAGATGGCACCAGGAAGCACAAGTACCTTTGCCAACCAAAGTAGCAGTGGCAGTGGCAGTAGCAGTGGCTCTTGTTGTGATCATCAGCCTAATGCTGATCATCAGCATTTAATTTGCCTTGACATGCCCTGATCAAAACCAGAAAGCCCTGTGAGAGGAAGCGAGTGATTCGTTCCCGACACCTGCCTTCCATGCTAGGCAGTAAGTAGCATTAGAACACCAAGACAACAAAAGCACGGAGTCGCAGCCACCGGCAGGGCACAACCAGAGAGAAGCCAAGCTGCTGGAGCCTTGCCTTCCAGCAGCGCCAGAAGGTCCCGGCGCTGGAGGCCCAGCCCGGCTGAGCCGCTTTTCGGCACCACGCGTGCCGCGGCGCCTGAAGTTCTGAAAGGGGGGGAGGATGGGACGGGGACCCTTACCCCTGCTACCAGCAACCCGTGACTCTACCACACGCCGACGGCAGCTTTGCTTTGCCGACTTATCACCACACAGAACGGCTCCCGCCTTGTATTGGGCGAAGGCCGCCGATTGCATTCTGGATAAACCATGCAAGCCTCATCCCTACCGAGCCCTCCGTCCTGCGTGATGTTTGGGATCAGTTTCGCAAGTTACACCCAGTCTTGCGTTATGGGTCAACACAAATGCATGACACTTCACCTTCATCTGCACTCTAGCTGTTGACCTGAGCATGAACCCCAAGAAGAATAGCGTGTGGCACCCAGTGGCTTCAGGTTCGCGATGGCTCGCGCAGAGTGCACAAGCACAACGCAAAACATAAAAGAGAGCTAACAAGAGTTAACAAGAGATTAAATGTCACTCCTGCAAAGTCTACAACACGTGGCAGCCTCTTCTTTGGTCTCACACTTTTTTGGCTGCCAACAAGTGCTGCAGTTCGGACAAGTTTACGGCCACTCGGCCCAGGCAAGATGCCTAACGTCTTGTCAAGCATCACTGCCGTTTAAGCTATGGGTCACCAGAGCAACTGAACCAGCAAACTGATACAAACACTATCTCTTACCGTTGCTCAGCCTTCAGCACAATCTCTGAAAGCGAAGGTGATCTGCCGAGCCTGGCGCTCGACTTTCACCTTCGAGGCTACTGCTTCTTGTGAGCAGACCTTTCGTTGCCAGACCCCGGGACATGAGAGTACCTTCAAAGTTTGTTTCTTGAATCAGAGTTCCAAAGCAGCTTTGGCAGAACCTCAGACAACAGTTGATTGATGAGCAGGAGACGTGCTGAGAGACAGAAGTAAGCCCCGACGAGGGCTGCCTTGAGAGACCAAACCGAGGTCAGGGCTCGTGTCGCATGGTGGCAGAAGGCCTCCGTGCTACCGCCGGTCGACCATGGCGTCCTGTCAAACGCAAAAGCAAGGGCTTTTCGCCGAAGCCGAAGTGAGGCCCTGTTAGCTGTCTGAAGATCCCCTGGGGGAGGGACATCTGGAGACGCGCCGAATGGCAGGAGGCTCGGCATCATAGGCCTCTGCCATGCATTCCAGCTTTTTATCTTGAAATGGCATTGATTAGGACCTGTCGAGACTTCGGCACTGCAACGGCTTTCTTGCAGGCTACGCTGACACTCGTCTGACCCAGCCATACCACACACCCCGGCATCCCTGTGATGGTGACGACAATGATACCACATGTGCCTGAGACTGCTCTAGCAACCGGCTCCCAATTCAAACACGTGTTTGTAAACCTATGTAAACCTGGTGCCTCACATACACGAGGCTGTGCGCCGCCTGATTATGTGACACGCCGATCGTCACTGTAGCATTTAATTTCGGCTGTGCGCACTAAACCCTGACAGCTCCGTAGTCTGCACTATACCAAACGAAACGTTGGCTCCCAGACCTACCGCGGTGGGGTGAAGATAAGGCAACACACTAGGCGCCGCTAGGCTGCAAGGACCTCGAGACTCGAGGCCCTGGCGTTGCCAGCACAGATGTCGACACTTCCTGGAAAGCTTTCGGATGCTTTGGCCTACGGGGCCCTGACCCACAGGGAGATAGGAGATGGAAGTGAGAAGAACCGCAGACATGCCACAGTCTGGAGACACAAACGTGCACGCCAAGTACGGTCGCGTGCTCTGTTGAAACATTCATTGCAAATGAATTTCGAACTGGAAGTCGCGCTCTCTGAAAGGTCCAATCCTGGTCATCCTCGGCCAATACCTCGAAAGCAACAGTGCATGGTCACAATTATTCCCATCATTCATCAATGACATATATAACCTGGCTGAGACCGAGGCAGGCATTTCTGACGAGGGCTTCTTAGAGCCTTGGAAGAAGCAGGAGAGATCCAGGCCTCAGCAGGTGGCGTTCACGCTTGCGGCTGGCTGTGCTTCTGCGTCGCACTGCTCGCTTAGTTGCACGCCATCTTTAGCCCAGTGGTCCTGCAATGACGACTCACAAGCTTCTAGTCCAGCTTTTCAGCAAGATGCCGTTGTACTGGCAATATTTAACTTGCGGCGCCACCAGAACACCCGTGCACATGCCCACACCTGCAAGATTTCACACCAGGACTTTCGGAGGTGTATCAGGTCAGACAGCATCAAGAAGACCTGAGAGACAACAGCTGCACAGCAGCATTGAACTGAACATGTCGAGTTGCGATGTTCAAAGCTGTCTTGAAACTGCCGTTCCTCGTACGCTCGGGTGCCGTGCCATCTGCGCACGGTCGCTGCGCAACCTGTCACCATTGCGCATATTCCCGTCGATCATTTCCTGAGCGGACATGCAAACGCGGTGCCAACGAGCAAAGGAAACTGCATATCATCCGGCCTTCATTTTCTCTTTCATCTTATTTTCCACCCTGTCCAGGAAAGCTTTGTCCTCGGGCAACAGGCAACGGAACACTCACCAGACACGAGCAAGCAGAAAAAGGCGCCACGCCATCTCCAGGATCTTCATGGCCGCCAGGAAGTCGTTGTCCTCCTTGGAGGTGTCCTTGCGATTTTCAAAGTACCTGCGGATCAGCTTTCTTCGAGGGCTGCGGCCGCGCGCTCGACACGGGGGGAGGAGCACTCTTCCACCTCTGTGCATTGCTGGTGCAGGACCTCCCATGGTTGCTCCGACTCGAGGAAAACTGCGCACGCAAGAACTTGGCCGCATATCAGCAAACATTCAAGTGTCAAGACTCGTCTCAAACCCATCTGCCTGGCTGTATCATGTTGCCACCACACCGCTTCAAACCCAGCAAAGTATGCAGCACAGGCTGGCTTCCATTTTGGAGTGGTAAAGAACATCTATTTAACTTTGAAGCCTCCGAAGTTTGTGCAACGGGCAATCACTTCGCACAAAAGCATCACCGCCTTGATCAGGAGGTCCGATGCACCGGAGCTGGTTGCCTCGCTTTCAGAGGCGCATCCAGTCAGCCGGCTTGGCTTTACGGCGTGATCATGGCTTCGGATGCTTCGGCCTGCGTCGATTTGCTCAGGTCTCGGACCTGGTCAGATACAACAAACTCAACAACACTGCTTTAGAGATTCTTTCGCAGACTCGGCCCTTGGCTATTCCCAGACGGCGCTCAGCTCGGTCTTTTTGCCTCGGGGCTCTGCATTGTCACCGAGCCGACGCTGCACCCAGGGCGCTGTGCGCCTGCGCAAGTCGGCCAGCTGGGCAGCAATGCTTTGCTTCTCCTGTCACTCTCGGCATCGCCGGGCAGAAGCTTTGCCCCCGCCATGCACTGCTGTCAACTACTATCCAAGAGACTGTCATGTTCTTCAGGTCTCTATTTTCCACGTACGGGCTATCAAGTATAGCCTTGCCAAAGCTTGCCGTCCTTGTCGGTCTCTGCTCTCTGGTCCAGAAGTGTCATGCCTCGGGAGCGGCAGGAGCCGAAGGTAGCTGACAATCAAGCTCCCGTGCTTTAACCCTTGAAAGGCTTCCCGAGAATTACACAGGTGCTGCCAGAGCACGTGTGTTCTTGTTCGCCTGCACGAACTCCTCTACCTTCCAGTGGTCCACGGCGCTTCTAGACCATGTGCAGGAGACATGGCATGGCATGGCATGGCATGGCACCGGCGATTAGAAGCGTTGCTCTGGGCGGCCTAACACTATCGAACAAAAATACTCAGAATGGGGCTTTGGGGTATATAACTTTGTATATAACTTATTACCACTCTTTTCCTGGAACCCTTCAGGAACTACCAACCCCGACAGAAGTGGGACCTCGGCCAGCTGCTCCTCCAGCTTCCTGAGAGAGGGGAGGGAGCTCTACCCTGTGGGGCTCTCTCTGTCGAAAGATCATCGACGTTTCTGGAGTTTTGCGCCGCGAAGCAGGGGGGGGGGGAAGAGGCAAATCTTCCTCGGTTTCTGGGAGTTCCCGTACCGACACTTCCGTGCCTCCTCTCGGCGCCGGCTTTCGGAGCCATGGAGATCTGAAGGGAGACCTCTGCCAGCGCTCTCAGGGGAGCCCAGGCCGAGCCGAGAGCCTTTGGCCCCTGTTGTTTAGGGTTTTTTTGTTTAGGGTTTAGGGTTTCTCCGCCCGCCTGGTCCTGCCGGTCGTGCAAGGAAGTGCCCTGCCTGGGGAGAGCAAAAGATTTCGGTCCGAGGCTGGATCTGCGGAAGTTTCAATGAGGCAAGCAGCTGCTGCAGTTGCTGGAGCTGCTTCCGGTTGTGGGTCTGCGCGAAATCGCTTCCGAGCTTTCCGTACACGGTACTGAGCGGTGGAAAACCGGCCTGACGAAGATCGCAACTCTCCAGGCTCTTTGTCAGTGCATCGATGTCCTCGCACGACAGCGCAAGCAGGCATCTGTGATCAGAACGCGACTCCGCTTTTTAAGGCGATAAGAGGATGAAGCGCTCCCGCTCGTGCACCATGATGTCGTGCTCGAGCTCGCCGATGGTGTCCTCTCGCTGCCATTGTGTTGAGCAAGACTTGAGGAGGCAAGCGAGATCAAAGTGCCAGGCTGCACTGCCTGGAGAGTGTCGAGCTCGTTGTCTGTCGCACCACCAGCTTGCACCTCTCCGTCCTGGTCAGCAGGGGTTGCGGCAAAGCCAATGGCGCTAGAGGCTTTCTTCCAACTTGCCTTCTGCTTGACTTGCTGAGCATCGAGAGCAGCAATGTCCAGCCGCTCCTGCGACACCGATCACATCACGTCATGGATCTCGTGGTTTGCCTCCCCATACAGAAGCTACCTCGCCTTGTTGATGCTCTCCTGCATAGACTTCAGCCCCTGGACCAACGTCTCAACTCGAACCTTGTCGGTGTAGGTGTCCTGCACAGAAAACTCCAGTGAGGCAAACTAAATTCAAAACCGTTCCGCGGCCTGATGCAGGACCTTACACCCTGTCGAGGAAATGGAAACTCGTCCTTCGGGGAACTGCAGTTTCAACAGCTTTAACATGCCGGTAGTGTTAGCTCTCAGCTACTGCCTGGCCTGCTCGCATCTGCGAGCGAAACTCGTCCTTCTGAAAGACCCGGAACGGCCTGGAGACAAACTTGCAGAAGCAACAAGAAAGGATGGAAAGCCATGACATGCTGCAACTTTCAAGAAGCTCGAACGTCATTCCCTTGACAATGCGGCATCCGCCTGTTCTTGACAACAGCTATGCTGCTCTTCTTGGACTTGTCACTGGTGACGAGGTGGTCCTGACGGGCAAAAGATGGGAAAAGAAAACATGTGCCAAACAGCTGGTCTTGTCGCAAAATATCAAAAGCAGCAGTGGGTCGTACACTTCAACAAAAGTTGCAAAACTGACGTCGTGATTGTACGCCCTGGCCCGCAACATTCAGCTGCGGGGAGACAGTACATTGCAGCTTTCGCGCCTGGAAGCCGTCAGATATCTGTCCCCACCTGGACACAGGATTTACAGCGAGAGTGGTACCATGCGAGCGCACGAAATCCCACAAAACAAAAACCGCAATAATTCGACTCCGGCACTGCCAAATATTGGAGTTCAGGGCGGCAGCCACAGAGCTGTCTGTGCCGGCCTGAGGACTGGCACGCGAAAGGCTCATGACATAACGGCTTCGATGCACACTTTCGATTTGGCCCTCTTTGAAACTTGAGATGGGTAGTTCTCTAAATGAGGGACCCTTTTAGGGTCCCCTTTTATAAGGGTGCTGTACTATATGGGGGACCTGAAAAGGGACCCTAATTTAGAGAACTACCCAAATGCAAATGTTGTCGGCCACCGACAACACCAGCGAACGTGCGACTGCATTGCAGGACAGCTGAGGCATCCGCCGAGACCTTTGCGGACGCGGATATCCACCATGGGACCAACGAAACACTCCATGCTACCATTACACAGAAAGCTGCACTGGACGCATACTTGCCGGCATCCGCATTTCGCCAAGGCTCTGAAATGATCTGGCCGTCTTTGTTAGCACCCAGCCTGGGCTGCCAAAACTCCAAGGATGGGCAAAGGCGGAATCTGCGACTCTGCAAGCAAGTCGCTGGAATCCCGACTCCTCCGGGTTGTCGGTAACGGGCGGGTGGCCTCGGACGAGTGGAGAATCCCATCCCGAAGCTCCCGAAGTCCCCGCGAGGCCGCCGCAGACCTTCACCGGGTGAATCCGGTCCCTGTCTCCAACTCTTCTTTCATAGGGCACGCGAGGACTCTGTGACTCCTGCCTGTAGTCACCAACACCCAGTTGTCCGGATTTGTTGCGTCCCCAAGACCAGACCTCAGCCACCATCAAGGCCAGGCCCCAAGCTGGCGTTCCTCAACTTGACTCTCAGTTCCGGGCCAAGCCAGGTGCCACCAGTGCCAACGAGTGGTGCATTCCTGCAGACACCTGGACAGGGAAGAGCTTGTAAATTATAAGTTGCAGATCGCAAGGCGACAGCCGACATTGACAATCGGAAAAGACAAACGCCAACCGCCTGAGTGACTTCATGGCCAACCAAGCCCTTCACGGGGAACGGCCTGCACAAAAGCGCAAACAATTACTTCTCGGAGACGACTGTTTGTTTCCTCTGTCATCTCCGTGATCTCCTTGCCCTATGCAGAACTTACATGTCTACACATACGCATATTTAGTGCGTGCGCTAACTTAACGCATGTACGGGTGCTTATACATGTACACGTATTTGTACTTGCCGTCCGTGCAAACGTCGTCATGTAAAAGTGTCCTGGCAAGTAAACGTCTGCTCCCTGCTCCAGTCATTAACGCTTGTCTTTGCCAAGCCTGCCATTCTCTTCCTTGACCACCGGCTCTCGGCCGAGCTGGCCAAAGCGGTTGTCGCCCCAAGTGAAGGCGATCCCCGCGTCAGACAGCAGAAGGCCGTGCCTCAGCTACTGGGTCTCTTAGGGGGACATCAGGGCTTGGTGAATGTCAATTGGATAGTCATCATCTTCAGGTTTGGCGGGTCTTTGCGCAAACGCAATCATTCAACCGACGAGAACTCGAAGCTCGCAATGTTGAATCAGAACATGCCTCTTCCTGCACTTTTGACCTTCATGGTATGGAATCGCAAGTGGAAGGCGGAAAGTGCATGCGTGACACGACACAGATACACCTTTGTGCCAAGATGCTCTCTGCCAAGACTCACCTGAACGATGAATGTCAGAGAGTGAAACAGGAGCATTGTTTCGCTCGAACAAGCTCGCACAACAGCAATGCCATGAGCACAGGCGCGCCTGCAGCACGCGGTGGCGATCATGAATGGCAGAGCCGAGCTGGGCCTTCTGGCGTGTTGACATCCAGAACTGAAGACCCCACAGTCTCCATCAACACAAAGCACCTTCGGAGCCAACGGCAGGATGCAGGTATCCGTCTCCACGAAAGCATCAACTTTCTCAAGTTCCCTGCAGGCTGAGCGAAATGAATAGCACATGCGAACCACCAACATCAGCATCCGAAGCCTCTGCTGAAAAAGCTGAGCTGCACTGGGTGCGGCTGAAGCCTTGGAAGTACAAAAGCCGACATTCCTCCCTGTCAGATCCTGCAACTTGCCTGAAGCTTCTCGTCTTCTGACAGTGGCGGAGGCTTTGTCAACAGCCAGAACGGTGGCACTTCCTGCCCAAGGCGCAGAACGTGCCAGGTTGCAAGTTTGCATCACAGCCACCTTGCCTTGTGGTCATCGTCACTCCGCTGCATGGCCAAACACAACAGCTGTTGCTTCTGTTGCACTTGTTGTAAATGCTCAGAGTCGCACTCAGACTCAACAACATCCGACAACCGAGGCCACGCTACGGTATCCAACACAGCGCTAAACTTATAACTTGTGAAGAATGACATTTGAAGCTCAACGTATGCTGGTTTGCATCATGACCTGTGATATCTTGCCTAGCCTGCGAACCGCACACGCCAATTGGCATGCGAACTATTCTTCTCAATGCCAGAGGCAAAAAATAAACAGTGATTTTCGAACCGCCCGNNCCCCCCCCCCCCCCCCCCCCAAAAGCATCCAGCAGTCGTCAATAATATCATCCGGATAGGCTTTCGCTTTTTCGAAGGGGTGCCGGCAAACGTCCATGCAAAGAAACGCTCGGAAACGAACCTCAGCTGCAGTGGAAGAGCTGCTACTACTAGCAGCTACCACTCAACAACCCGCCCGCGGACTCCACCAATTCCAGCAGTCAAGAAAGCCATCGCCGAGTAGCAAAAGCCACTGGATGCAAATTCCGCTCGGAACGCCCCAGCAACCATGCACTTGCCTCGAGTGTGAGTGTTGGACCCTTCTAAACATGTATGTGGCGGCACAGAACGAGCACCGACCAGTGACTCGAGCACCGCCCAGTGACTGAGGTGGTAGGACCAGCAGATTGGGCACGTGGAAGTTCTGCAGTGCATCCGCCAAAGTCACCGACTGGTCGAAGGACACTACCGTGTCCTCATCGCACTCTTGTGTGCAGATGTGCCACTCCCAAAGAAACAGAAACCAACAGGAACATTTGTCCCAGCAGCGGCTGTTCCATGGAGCAACAGCATCGGTGGAGACCTTGTAGTAACCGATGCTCCGTGAAGCCCCCCCGATCGCTGCCGAGGCCCAAGCTGCTCCGCCACGTGGGTTGTCGTTGACATGTTGTGAAAGCAGCCTGTGGCCAACGAGGGAGCAATCCTGCCCCAACCCATGCAACAGATGGATTCGGATTGAATGAGACGGAACAGAACCTTGTCGCTCCGCGCGAGAAACTGGGCATAAACTGAACTTCCGATCTCTGCCAGGAAACCAGGCTTCGTCACAGGATTGCCCCCACAGAAGAGGACGTATGCTTCTGGCCAGTTGTCACGGACACGAGAGCTGTAGCCTGAATCGACATTGCAATCGCCAAGAAACGCAGCAACCAGCCACGAATCCCAGAGGCACCTCGGCGAAGCTCCTGGATGCCCCAGAGATCCACGACACCACGCCTCTGGTTCTCAGGTCTCCCTGGTGTGCTGCTCATCACACCTTGAGCCTTGAGCCCGCGGCACGAGCCCAGATGGTACCAACAAGGATGCCAACACCGCCAGATGGCCACCAGCAGATTCGCCCTGCACAATCACTCCTGACGGCGACTGCACTTACAGGTCTTGATGCCGTCTGTCAACGTGACTTGATACATCCAACAACATGCATACAGTCAAAGCACTGCGCTTGTCAACGCCCAGCTCTTCAGCATGTTCGATCACATGCATGAGGCCATCAACAACATCTTCCTGGGCAAAACGCCGCTGAAGGCACCCTGAATGCATGTTTAGCAAGTCATGGGACTGCTGCTGACAAGGTTCCACCAGGTCTGTCCCCACGTAGCCGTCCCGCGTAAGACGGTACCCCACCGACACGAGCACGAAGCCACCTCGATGCAAACATGTAAGCCGAGGCAGGTGCTGCTGCCGCATTGATGCGCTTTCCTCGCGCTGTATTGAGAGGCAAGCATCGATTCAGAAAATACTCAAAGAAGCAAGCGTGATGCCAGGTTCGGTCTCCGCTCCACCACCACCCGCCGTGGACGAAGAACAACAGAGGCATGCTCAATTCGCCAGGAGCACCTGCTGATGGGATTCTTCGAACATCTCGCTTATGCTACTGGTGGAAGATGCCGTGACATGACACCACCTCGCAACTCTGGCAGGTAGACATCCAGGAACAAAGGCCCAGCAGAACCACATCTTCTCACAAAGGGCTGCAGGGAGCAGTCTGGCCTCACATGTCTTAGCGAGTAATGTTTGCCCCACACCGGTACATGCTGCTGCCAAGTGGCGGTGAGGAAATGTTCTTGAACGGTATGGAAACGTGCAACGGCCGAAGCTTGCAGCTGCCGACCTGCACGAAAGAGTAGCAAAACTTTACACCCGAAATCTATGGCTACGGCCTAGTGCACTCATTTGACGGGCCGTCCTCGGCAGCCAATGGTCCAATCAACCACGAACCAAAGCTGAAGGCGTTGTCTCGTGCGTTTTCCACATTTGCGGGAAACAACCTGTCCACCTGCCGAGAAGCTTTGGCAAACGAGGCAAACTGGAAACTGTATATGATGCGCGTGAATTCGTCTTTTTTCGCTGGCAGCCTGTAACGATGTTGTCTCTCGGCACAATGCAAACAGGGCAGATAATTCTGGGAAAACCTGCTTGCCTGTGTGGTCGACCCACATCCGCTCAGATTGTCTTCGAAAAATTGAAAATGAGAAGGATCGAGATACACTTCAGGTGGTTCTGTGAGGAAGGACACCAAGGTTGTCCCTGCAGGCGGAAAAACGGCATGCGGATCGGCTGAAGTATTGAAAGGTAGTTAAAGCACGAGCATCGGCCATGAGATGTTCTGAAACGTCTCAGACGTTCGTGCAGGAGCTAGGGGCTAGTTCTGAATGGATGCTAGATGCCAATGAGCCTTCCGGCCTGTCTGCAGTTGCGCGAATGTGTCCTGGTATTCGTTCGGATGCCAGGCTCTCAGGCGTGCAAGAACAACTTGGTGTCAGCGTTGTTTGCACATTCACCGCAACTGCAGGTCAAGCAGACCATACAAACGCGTTCGTGTTCCGGAGTGATGATGATCCAAGGCAGGCCTCGTGGTAAGGCTGCGGCTACCGGCTAAGGCGAGACACTTAATAAACGGCCCGAAACCGACTGCTTTGCAGACAGGGCCCGAACAGCCACCAGAGGCAAGTCCGCTGCGCAATCCATGAATCGACGTTGTTGCTTACGACTTTCGGCTTAGGGCTTAGTCTGTGCAAAACGAATCGTATAATGAGAGACCTGATCAGATCATCCTCCGAATTACACAGTCAGCCAGGCCATTCAGCAAACGACAGAATGCATCACGGCTTCAGTTGGACAGGTACCGAGAGGACGACAACACCAATCCTGATCGTGGCTTTTGCGCAGATTCTGATGTTGTGTGGCTTGATAATGACGGGCACTGCTCGGGCTGGGCAGCTTGAATTGCTCTTCACTTGCACTTTCAGCGAAAGCACGGCTGGCATCTCTTCAGGTTCGGACCATGCGGTACTTCGCCGACTCTGGGATGGAACACAGAGGTTGGCGTCTTGCATTTGCCCCTCGCAACGAAAATGCGACACACAGGCCGTTCAAGACGTGCGCAAAGGGTACACTTGTTTGCGTTCCAGGCACGTTGTCTCTTGCTGTCTTTTCTGGCCTTTCTTTTTGAGGAGCTCCAAACAGCGATCGCGCTCTTTCTTGACATAGTCCAAGTCCGTCACCCACATGGTCTTGTGTGGCTTCCCTGCACGAGACTTCACATTGGTGACAGGAGTCCGGGACGAGGCGCAGGAAGTTACATCCGAGTGGCCGTCATCGGTTCTGAACATGTAGAAACGATAGGTTCGTTGGATGTGCCCCGTGACAAACCTCAAACGGTACAGGGGTCTGTACTCGCTTGTGAACTTCAACTCGCAAATGTCACATGCCGAGATGCTGGGTATCCATGAACTCGATGTGTTCTTCCCCATCAACCATGCCGGATCGCTGGTGCGTCATATCGACACCGCTGTGTAATCTAGGCAAGTCAACTCTGCTCTAGCACTGCCTCCGATTCGCAAGAGGACATGTAAGTGGCTCCGTGTGGGCTGTGCTTTGCTGCGACTGCAATCTGCGGAGATGTGTTCAATGACTGATGGCAAAATGGCGGCAAGATGGCATACGGCACAGAAGCAGCTCACATCAAACGCATCAAACGCAGCACCCACGACAGCACACATCTGATGGTCGTCACACACTCGTAGACACAGTGAGAGGGAAAGAAAACAAAACAAGGGATCCAAGAGCACTTATGTCTGATGAAGGCGCACCCAGGCACCCAACCTTTCTCGGTCAATTTACAGACGGAGGCATTGTCCAGAAATCCTTGACGACAACATACGACAACACAAGTGGTGCGCCACGGTCGGCATTCGTCTGACAGGGCTGCAAGTTTGGGCCGCTAGAGTGGAAACCGGGGGACTCAGGAGTTACTTGCTTGGTTGTGGGTTGTTTGTCGTTTGGAAATCAAAACTCAGAGTTGTCCGGCTGAGTCCATCTTATGAGAATCGACGATGTGGTGTGCTTCCCTGCGCGGGCGCTCCGTACCCCTTGTGACGGGGGGAGGGAGGGCGAGAGCGAGAGAGAGAGACAGAGACAGAGAGGGAGAGAGAGTGAGAGACACACAGAAAAAAAGAAGACTGTCTCAACACCCCACGTAGCACATGCCAAACGACTCGACAACTCGGAGCAAGGACATTGCAGCGGGTCATCACGAGCCTCATCTGCCAGATGCTTGGAGGAGTGCAATGCGAGCAGCGCCGGCAGGCTCAGCAGCACGAAGCCTTACCATGCAAGCGTGAAGGAGATGGAGAAATACTCTGATATATTCCCAACGTTCCTTTGCCGCGGAAAAGGCAAGTCTGAGATGGTCTGAGCATGCGACAGCAAAGGAGGGCACCTGGGCTTTTGCTACACGCGCATCTGTGAAATCCGCGATCACACGCAGAAAAAAAGCTCGGACATCCGTCGAGCATCCCAGAAGTAGCAGACTTGCGAGAGCCCGCTTGTTCGTCATCCAGGCCCATGCAAGGTACAGCGATGCGACAGAAGCCCACCTGCAGTCAAGCCCCATGCTAGTAGCTCGGGCACGTGGGGCCAAGCTTTGCCCCTGTCTTTCGTCTTCACTCATGCTGAATTCCCAAGCCACACAAGCGCCAAAAGGCACATTGGTCCACTTCCACGCGCCCCAAGAAGGCCATGAGCACCTCCAGGGTATGAGGGAGGCACAAAAGAATGCACCACCGGCAAAGCAGGACCGCGGCCTATTGCACTCCCAATTATGAAGGGCAGGAAGAGCAGAGTTGCCAGGATGGCAGGAAGCGTCACAGCAGCCTCCTGCGGCTCAAATTGCCCGTGCTTTTGCTGGCGTGCCGTTCCAGGAGGCTCCCGACAGCTGCAGCGGGGGCGAGGCGCGGCGCGAGGCTCCGGAGTCTCGGCCCAACGCGTTTGGACGCTCCGAGGCACAGATCTCGCTCAGCCCCACACCACCTCGCTCACCAAACAACCTAGCTCGGTGGTGGAGGCTCCATCCTGTCCAGACCATCGGCTCAATGGTCGCAGCGGGTCCCTCTCTCGGCCTCCGTCGAATCCTCCGATCCGATCGTCTCAGGAGCCGGGCTGATGCTTCTTGCGTGCAGCATGCCTGGAGCAGCCTGAGAAGAGGAGCGCTACCAGACCGCATCACATCCACAGCAAACTGAAGCTGCAAGTACGAACTCCAAACTGTTCACATCGGAGCCCAGTCAGCCAAGGGCTGAGCACACGCCACGAAGTCACAGCGGGCACAGCACCTGAAAGGATCCTACAATGACACAGGACGGGCAAACGAGGACCGGACAGAAGCGTTCAACGCGGAACTTGAGCAGACTGGGTCAGCGACGATCAAAGCTGCCAAGCGGCCTTCACTGGAAAGGAACCCTGCAGGACCATCACCGTGAGTACCTGCAAGCATCTTCGTCTCACATGCTGGGCCCTTTCGGGGGACGCCGTGGTATGCCATCACAGCCATGGCCCGAAATTGCACCTGCTGCAATTCGAGGCGCCACGCTCCCTTGAAGTGGCCGACGTCAGAGGGAAACCGGCAGCGGGAGGAATCGCGACCCTAAACCGTAAAACCTAAAAAGTTCCTGCAGAAACGATGGCGACGAGGGAAGCAGGCAAAGAAACCCACACTGGGTGTGGGAACAACTCACTCCTGCGAAAAGCTGCACAAGTGGCGAGATGGCGCATCTTTTTGATTCAGTGCGCTTGCAAAGGAAATGCGTGAAAGAGCTGCCATGCAGCCTGAGACATGCAGATCTGGCATTCCAGAATCAAGCATCCTTTTGGCGACACTTCTGCCAGTCCATGAGGCTGCTCCTCTGCGTAACCATGTCGTGCACAAGCGTCGGGTCGCTCGCAGGGACGATGCCCATGCGCTGTGTGAGACATGTGTGAAACTGCAATGGCCATCCCTCATTTCTTTCCAATGGTCAACGGGGCCGCCTTGTTGCTGTGACAGCCCAGGATCTTCTCAGACTGATACATCTAGACACATCGAGACAACACGAATCGACGCCCGGTCCCGAATCGCCAGCTCGGTGTGGTTCAGCTGGACCTGCCAGGCTGACGGCTCTCTTGCCAGTTTCAAGCTCTGGGCCTGGGGAAAGTCTGGGCCTGCTCGATCTTCTTGGTCAGATCTATCAAGGCATTCGACAGCAGCGATGCCTGGAAAACCCATTGCCCCTGTGATCTCGTGAGGGCAAGAAGCAAACTGTCGCAAGCACTGCATCAACTGGGCTTCCCCACCAGCTGCAGGACTGAAAGCAGCTCTGCGCGCCATTCCTGGACCCCGAAAAAAACCATCCGTCCTCGACACTGGCACCTGCAACCTTGTGCAATTTACCTGTATTTGCTGCCCACCACATAGGAGCGATGGAACACAAGCAATCTTCCCCATCTGCAAGAGGTTGTCACAACATCTGTGCGCCTTCTGCGACTCGGTAAGGGCGCTGTGCAGCTCCTGAAAACGGCACCCTGCTGAGCCATGTCGAACAAAATCTGCTAGCGCGCCTGTGACATGACCCGCAACGTCTCAACTTCGTCGAACGCAAGATCCGTGCCGATGCCTCGAGGACAAAGGAGGGCTTCGTCAGAGCTTAAAAATGTCTCGAAATGACGACAAGACTTCACACGCCGTTCGCTTGTCCGAGCGGGCCACTTTCTATGGCGTTTAGCTTCTCGGCCACTGAAGCCTGGTGCTTGCAGTCTCCAAAGAGGTACTCGCACTGCAGCTCAAGAAAACCAAAGGCCTGGAGCCGGGCGACCACTTCGAAGGGATCGTCTCCTGCGGCGCGCTTCTTGACCCGCGGGACCCAACCGAGCCTTTCTGCACCTCACCAGCCTAAAGGTACCAACAGCCCTTGCCGACATGGGCATCCGGTCCAGTTTGGTCCACCCGAAACCGTCGAACGACATCAACTGCTTTGTCCCTGGGCACGGCGGAAATGTACTCGACATCATAGCCAGTAACACTTTCGGCTTGGGTATTCCAAGAAGCCGGCGACGAGCAGATTTCTGCAAGCCTCGGATCTTCGTCCAACATTCGCTGAAGTTGCACCTGTCGCGCGACAGCCCCAACACCCCGGAAGATGCTGGAGTTGCTGTAACTTCTGCCATCCCTACGTGAACTTATCGCTGCTACGGCCCGAAGCTCCGCAGGGCGCACCCGATTCACGATGATGGTGGCCTGGGGAGGCACCCGATTCCCAATATGCATGGCAAGAAAGCAGTTGCATCTTCGAGCTGCTGTCGCCAACTCACCTGCTGGCTGCATGGCTGGGGGTGACACCATTTCCGAGGACGTCGGAATCCTATCGTCCTGGCACAGCACCACAGAGCTCCTACAGTCCTACAGCACACCACTCGTACTGATGAAATAAAGCACAAGTACACATCGTACACGTATGACCGCTTCCACGGCTTGCCCGTCCAAGGGAGCCAGGTCACTCTTGGTGAAACAGCCAACTTCCGAATGGACGTCCTCATCATCTTGTTGCGGTACATCGTCCTCCTGCTTGGGCAGCGGTGGACACCACATTGTCAAGGCAATCCACTTGGCACGATTACACTGCGATGCATCCAAACACAAGCTCTAGCACATGCATCGGCAACTGTGCCAGGCTGACGCCGTCAGCCAACGCCAACTGGGACCTAACAATCGGGCGAGCTGTCACAACACTACCGCAAATCGCATCTGCAGCGGCGACGAAACGACCGTTCCGGCCACTACTGCAAGAATGACAAACAACAACAGCATCAGCAGCAACAACACCAGCTCCGCTTATGAACCACAACAGCAGTAGTTAGAACCCATCGGCTGCCCGCAGGGACTCATACCTAGCCGTAGCTAGCAAGCATCTCTCCATGTCATCAGTCCGTCCGAGGTTCAGGCGATCTTCGTCCACTGCGGCGGGTATTTTCGATCTGCCTTACGCAAAGGCCATGCAAGACACGAAAGCAATCACGGTCACTCGACCTGAGGCCAAAAAGTGCTTCCCCGAATGTCCCTGACCAGCTCTGCTCACGTGCTTGGAAAATCCACTTGGCACCCGTAGTCTTCAAACTCCCAGCGACAATTTGTCAGAGACATGTCACAGTTAAGGCCACAAGATACTCCAAGTAGTTTTCCGTGGTGTGCCCGAGGACTCTGCTCCAGGCCAATCCCAGCTTCGATCAGCTTCTGGCGCCTCAAGTCCTGCGACGCTGCGCTCCAGAGCTGCGTGAGGGAACAGCGATTTGTGTTCTTCAGTCTTCGTCCTCTAGCCTGTCCAGTGCTGCGTCCCGAATTTTCTCCATCTTCCTGATACAAACTGAAACAGGTCGATATTCACCCAAGCAGAGAAACTGCGGCTCTACGTGGGCACAATCTGCCACCTGCCTCTTCATTCGATAGTACCGCGTGGCTACCGGCTCGGGCAGAGAGCTCAGCGCAATGATCTGACAGGAAGAGCAGCTCGCAGCTGAGCGATTTAGACGCAGCTGTGACGAAGTGCAAGCCCACTCCAGACGCTTCGAAAGAACCCCACAGTCGCTTCATCCTAGCCTTGGCATGACCCGCTTTCGCAAACGGTTCCGTGTTGTGTTGAAAGCAGGCAGCCTGGTCTTCTGGTCCTCCAATATCTTCGTTCCTCTCCTGGCGCGAGCTCAAAAACAAGCTTCGCATGGCCCATCAACTCACAGATGCTTCAGGAGAGGGCTCGGGTTCCAGTGCACCCCCGTCATGGCATCCCCGTCGCAGGCAATCACAACCGCACGGCTCCAAGCCGAATTGTAAATCAAGCATTGATGCAATGCAATTTTTTTCTCAAGCCATGCGCCCTCTGCATCAGAGCTGATCTTCGAACCTGAGTTGTGGTCTTCATTGGAACGGTCGACTGATAAAGCAGTGGGTCTAGAACTTGCTGGCCCGCTGCCCATTTCCTGTCCTGTGGTTTCTGCTTCGTCGTGTCAGGCTGTTCTAGCTATCAAGGTTCCGTCTCACGGTTCGAGGGTTGCGAAATCTCGCACGTGCTGCATTAATATCTTCTTCTGCTTCTTCTTGCATTGGTCAGCCCTGCCGAAGACGTTCTTCTTCTCCTGCAGTGCGGAACCCCATTCACCTCCCTGTCGCGGAAAGCACAGCAACGCATGCTGTAAAGTCGTAACCAGCACGGGCCTTGCAGAATCATTCCAGAGACCCAGCACGGCCAGAAAAGACAACAAACCACCGAACAAACACAGGTTGGCAAGTTGCAAAGCACCGACCGATGCGTTTGCAGGCACGACGACTGCGACGATGACGACGATCTCTAATTCTCTCCCGGTCTTTGCTCTCCTCCTGGTTCTGCAGCCTAGGGAGCCAGATGGATCGCTTGGGCGGAGGTGGCTGCTGTAGCTTCTTCGGAAGTGGCAGCTTCCTCTTCGTCTCCGCTTTAGCAGAGGCTTTTGGCTGGGCCTTTGCCAGCTTCAACGCTGTTTTAGCTTGCGTCTTCGCCTGCGCTTTGGCCTGCGTCTTGGCTTGTGCCTTGGCTTGTGTCTTGGCCTGTGCAGCAGATGACTTGGCCGCAGCCTTGGCTGTTGCCTTGGCTGTTGCCTTGGCTGTGGCCTTGGCTGCTGCCTTTGCTCCCACTTTGGCTGCAGCTGGTGCCTTTGCAAGGTACCGTGGCCTGATAATTTTAGAGGCCTTCGTTTCCGCTTCTGACCCGCCTGCGGCAGCAAAAGCACTCGAAACACTGATTTACCCAACCTCGGCACTCTGCAACAAAACACAAAGTCCTAGGATGTCCTAGGCATGTTGTCGACCTCGCCTGGTAGCTCGCCCGGCGGTTCAGGGACAGTGTGACTCATGTCTCCCAGTGCGAGCTGCTCTGGTGGCTGCCACCAGCGCTGCCCCCGCCGTGGCGCGTTGGAAATCTGCTTCAGTCTCTCGTAGGCATCCTGGGCTTCATCGTGTTAGACTTGCAAACAGCACAGCTTCCTGCATCATCCCGGAAACTAAATCGCTCTGGAAGGGGGCCTCTGCACCTCAAGAAGAACTAACAGTGCCTCCTCCAGCAACAGGTAGCAGGTCATGCTAAGAGTATACCCTTCCTGCCTCGAGTGCCTAGGTGTGCCTACAAAT